TAGTTCCACAGAATTTGTTTTGATAACTTTTGACTTTGAAATTTTAGAAAAAGGCATTGTAAACCATTTGGGAGATTGAAAACGAAAAAAGTAAAAAGTTTTATTTATTTTCTACTTTTTAGTCTTGTCTGTATAAAATTTTGCAATAGATATTAAAATAATTTAACTTGCAGTGAAAAGAGAACAGAAGGCAATGCAAGCAACATGTTGTTTGCTCACGTTTAGTATAAACATACATATGTACATACATACATACATATAGCAGCAGTTAATTTCATTTAAAGAAATGGCGTGTCGTCCATTTCCGCTGTAGCGTATGTAAATAGTGCAATATTTCACTTCTACTGGCGGGGTGACATCTATAGTCTTCTAGTTGTATCTCTTTAATATGATGCCTACAACGAGGTTGATATCCAGACTAGGTTGATATCTAGACTAGGTTGATATCTAGAATTTGCTATAAATAGCTTTGTTACATTTATAGTATAAATTGTGGTCTGGACACACCACATTGTAAGTTGATAAAAGCGTTGTAAAATATAGAAGCCGGACTTGGGAAACGGCAAACTTTAAAACGGCGTGAGTGCCAAAGAAGGATTTCCTCAAATGGTTTTGTTTTGCGAGAAAGTACGATGTTCCCATAGCTGTCCAATTTGTAAAAGCTAAAGTCAGCAAGTTACATAAAAATAACCAACTGAATATTTTGCCAGACAATACATACATTACTGATAGGTCTGGTCCAATCCTCGCTTGAGCAAAAGCATCTGGGACGCACAAAGTTAAAATTAAAATTATTCTAACCAATAGAGGTATGTTGTACGAAAACACAAAAATAGAAGTACACAGAAGTTGATATAAAACTATTCGTCGGTTTAAATAACTAACTTATTACTGCGCATTTTTTCCCCCGAGGAGGAAGCATCGAAAGTCTAACCCCGTCAGTGTTAGACTTTAACCGAAAATAAACCTTCTACCGTTATGTACTGTTCCCCCCCTGGTACCGCCGTCAAGATTGTCGTCGGGATAATAACACTGTGTGATTACTAAAGTTATAATTACCCCTTAAATCTCTGGGCTTTCATAGGTTGACCCTTATAATTGCTCGTAATTTCGTTTTGTCCGATCAAAAATATTTACAGTACGTACATGGTAACCGCAACTTTCAACACGTGCAGGTCCCAACCCTGTCAGAAGTACGGATTTTTACGTACGGTAAGTATTTGCAGTGTTAAAAATGGTTGTACGGATTCAACGTACGGCTATTTATGTAGCTCTGCGTCAAGATGTACGGATTTTTGGAGTGCTTTTTTCATATTGTAAAAATTTGCCTGTTTTACACATATCTCATAGGTTTGGCTGACTTCCAAAACGTATCAATACAATGTTTGGATACTGCGGTATTCAAACTGTTTGTATATGCAGAGTTGCGACGCATTGCAACCATATATATTGCACATTTTAAATATTCCATATAGCAATAAATTAGGATAGAAAAATGTAATCTTACCCTTCGACGTCGGCCATTGTTTATTTCGAAATGTCATCAAAGTATCGATTAGCTTAGCGATGCGCAGTTTGCTTTCTGTATACGCATCGATAACTTTTATGATACATTTTGACACATGCCACATCGTCAAAAATTTCACATTTGCATTTAGGAATGCGTGACTTTGTATAGTTGCTTTGCAACTGACGTTTTGGAGCTCAGCCTTTCTTATAGTTCCTGAACCCTAATTATTGTTTATTAAAGAATGCGTTATTTTCGTACTTGAGGGACTTATCTATAACAGCTTGACTATTTTTCATCCGATTTTAAAAATCAAACATCAGAATAGGATTTATAGGGCTTTAAAATTATATATAACAATATATTGGTAGACTTCGATTATTGGGAGTGTTTGTCGCGTAAAATTAAAAAAAAAATTAAATTTATTTTTTCAACTTTAGCCATCGCTTCGAAAATTATACTGTTACTCGGTAGGGTCGACAACCTACCTGAAAAGTTTTGTTATATGTACGTATAATAAGAACACCCTGCTTGTTAAAAATTTCTAGTCAGAAAAATAATAAGGTTGTCTGTGAAGCAATTAATAAATAGGATTAGCGGAAATATGAGTTGCTTCATTTGATGTTATTAAAAGTACTATTCCTGTGTTCACCGAAGTACAAGCGTTTTGTTTTTTTGCTCGCCAAACAAATTTAAGCGTACGGATTTTGAACGGTTTTTTCACCCACCACTTCTTGTCCGTGCCGGGTACAGATTTTAGACTCTAAACATCTGGCAGCCCTGGAAATTCCTTGATTGATGCAAGTCTTTAAAACAAAACATTGTAACCTTTATAAGTGCAACTTCAAAACAATTTAACCTCAACCTCAATGCAGGATCTAGCAACCAAAATTTTTTTTCTTCAGTAGCATAACTATGCCGATTCACAAAAATTGACTTGCATGACATATTTGTTGACTAGTATGAAGAAAAAATCACAGATATCGTGGAGCTACTTGAACCATCATACGCTGCCACTAAAAAGCTGCAAGTGGAACAGCTGGTACTCGGAGATTTTTTCGTAATATGGTTGATCCGGATCAACTCAGGAATTAACGGCAGTTGACCCGGATTTAGTCCGAGTTAGTCCGGATCAACGCTGCCGTCTGTTTAAGCTTTTAGACGCGAATCGTAATTCCGATTTTGTTAGTGGACCGAAAAGTTCTGAAATTATCCGTCCTCTCTTAGTGGCCAAAGACGGTAAATACCTATCAGCAACAACTCATTCTTATTACAATGTTACAATGTTACTTAACGTTGTGACGTTAATATAATAAATAATTTTTCTTGTCAAACTTGTTTTCATTTTTTTATTCCAAAACCGTAACTGGAACGAAACCAAAACCCAAACCGAAACACTTTGCAAAACTGAAACCGAAACCGGAACGTTATTTTGAATCGGTTTCTTTCCTTGGTTTAAAAAAATTTATTGTTATCAAAATAAGTCAAAATGAAAGCAAGAGTAAAGATAAAAAAAAATTAAATAAAAAAATTTTTAATATACAACGCTTTTATAAGTGGACTAAAAATTAGAAAATAAAATATCTTAGTTCCACAGAATTTGTTTTGATAACTTTTGACTTTGAAATTT